ATTTAATATTAAATTAATTCTGAGGTGATAGTGTCCAAAAGTTGCTGTATATTGTCACCCGATCCTATTATATTTGTGTAATCCGCAAATAAAATAAATTTGAGTTTTTGTGATATCTTACATATGTCATTAATGTACATGATGAATAATTTAGGACCCAAGACCGACCCCTGTAGTACACCACACACAATGTCCAAACATCTTGACTGATGAGCTCCCATCTTCACGAATTGCTTCCTGTTTTTTAAATAACTTCTTACCCACTCTAGTGCCAGTCCCCTGATCCCATATTGCTCTTATTATTCTAACAGCTTGGTGTCATAGACCTGCCTAATTGGTTTATGTTTATTTCCAAAGAAGGATCCCATGCTTGGCTAAAACCCATGACCATGTAATGCATTTTTTATAGTTTTAACACTAGTTTGTTCCTATTTATCCACTCAATAGCAGCATTTAGCTTTAACTGCACAACAACTTTCAGCTATTATTTTTCTACTGGTGCCTTTCCACTACCTTGGCATATTGCTTCAACAGGTTTAATGAAAACAATCAAACGTGGTTGCTTACATTAAAAAGACAATCAACTGTCCAATGACAAATTTTTATTTTATTTTATATTATTTTATTTTATTTTTCGTGAGCCCAGCAATAAATTCCAATCTTTAATATGAACAAATAACTTCTACGGGGTACAATAATGAAGCCAATCTTTTTCAAAAAGAAATGTAATTACAAATGTGAGGTATATTTATTTAAGTTAAATTTTACCACTTACCTTAAAAGGAAGGAACACTTACACTGCAAAAAAATCGAAATCTAAATAAGTAATAAAAGTGATTTTTTTTTTGTTTTTATTGAGGAGGTGAGACACTTTGCCAATGGAATAAAACAATTTACATTTAAAATAGGAAAAAAAGTATTGTATTGTCTTATTTTAACTGCATATTATTTAATTATCTTATTTGAAGAGTAAAATACTAATTCGATTGGTAAACAATCCCATTTACATACTCAAGTTAAGGGTAAATACATTTCATTCAAGACAATTTTACTTATTTCTACACTGTTTTTGCAGTGTATGGGCCTTCAGAATATGTGTCTATTATAGGCCTCCTCTTACAAAGTTCAGAATCTAACCCAGTTGGCCAAATATAAGAAAAAAAGAGTGAATCCAAACATGTTTTAAATGCGGGCAAAGATTTCATCTCAGACTCACTCTGGTAAATTGAATTCTAATTATAGATGCACTTAGCAACCTCTCACTAATTCTGCCTCCCAGCAATATTACAGCTCATTTCTAGGAAGATGAAAACTGATCTGCTTTCAGTTCAGCTGCACTGTTTCAACTCAACCAGCAGAGGCTACCCTTGCTACACATATCATCCATGACTTGCTTTCAAGCAGCTAAGAACATTCATTTCTGCTGACCCCATTATGCAAACAGGATCAAACTTATGAAGGAGTTGTTGCCCCATTAATGTTTCTGCTTTACATACATCAGAAAATCAAAACTGCTTCATGAGATCCACAGGAACCCAGTGGCATTGGAAGAACTTGGTGGATAAACTCTGTGCCTTAAAACTGCTGCCACACATTTATCCTGACATGCATTTGGATTTATCTAAAAATCTGCTTTAAAGCAACCACTAAAGCAGTTATTTTCCTTTAATTTGTAGTTTGTCCAGCATCCAGATGGTCGCTAATTCAAACCTCAGCTCCATCTTTCTCAGTCGTTGTGTCCTTTAGCAAGACCCTTCATCCACATTGCCTACTGATGGTGGTCAGAGGGCCTGATGCCTGCGTACGGCGGCCTCACTTCTGTCAGTGAGCCCCAGGACAGCTGTGGCTACAATATACACACCATCAGTTTGTATGTGTGTGAGTGGCTGAAACTAGTATTAAATGCTTTGGAGTTCCTTGACTTAAAAAGGTGCACAATGAGTACAGGCCATTAACCATGGCATGTGTACTAGTACAGGAAGTCTAAAATGTGTGGTGTCGTAATGTTTCTTTATATTAAGCTAAGATGCAGAAACATGATGGTCTTTTTCTGGACTGAGACATTTTAAAGACTTTTTTTGACAAAATTTTCTGAATTTAAGTCTGAAATCCTTTTGTCGACTTCATGTGACCATTACAGGTTATATTTAAGGGATTTCTAGATTACAGAAATTATGTTGTGTTTAAAACATAAGGGAGCTAGCAAAATAGAAATAAGATAACTCAACATAGGTGTTTAATTAAAGCTCATTCTTGATTCAACATGGGTGAGATGACTTGTTTACGAAGAGCCAAGCAAGTTAGAATAATATATTTCACCCAAAGGATGAGCTCTTTGTTTTAAAACAGGTTTTTTAAATTCACTGAAGTTTTTTTATACATATATAATTAGCTTGAATTGAAAAAATTGAAAAAAATAAATAAACAGTGGAAAACTAAATCAGTAGGCAGGCTTATACTTGCTATATGAATTGTATATCAAAGCTGCAATGCTCATGCCTGGCAATTTGTCAAAGTACCCCCCCCAAAAAATCCATGGCAGACTTTGCCAGAGATCAAATTGCATGTGCTTCAGCATCAGTTTACCAGAAAGGCGATGCCAGAGCATGATGTTCAGGCTGTGTACCTTTGCTGAATTATACTGATACATAACAGACTGAGGTATAAAACTCTTAAACAAGCTGAATGATATCTGAGGAGGACAGCTTTGACCTGAAAACTGTAAAATCCGGTGGTCAGTTTGGGAGTAAATTGGGTGCACTTGCTTTGCCCAGCTGCCTTTCACTCATCTGTGAAGAGCCCTGCAGAGAACTGGTGCATCTTTGAAGTTTGCTCCAGGAAAGTTATCTACTTATTTATAGACGTTTAATTAGACTGGCTCTCTGGAGGTTTGACTGGGCAAATTATAAGATCTTCCCCTCTTTTTGTGTCTCTTTTCTATCAGCCCCCCACCACCCCCCACCCTCAGCCACTTGTATCAGTACTCTATCCCTCACTGGCCCCCTTCATTACCACACCCTGTACTCAAGTTATGATGCAGTTCATGGGTTGCAGACTATTGCCCTATATTACCAGTAGAGCTCCAGTATAGAGTTATATTTGAGCTCAGAGTTCCTTGTGGAAGAAAGGACGGCTGAACGGTGAGTTTACTCTCTGCATGATGCATCGCTTTAACACACAGCACTGTTCTACACAAGGCCGGCCTTTGTTTAACCTTCTGTGGATTTATAAACTCTTTTTGTGAACTTGAAATGTGGGGACTGATTAGGGCTTATTGAATTTCTCATCCTGGACTTTGAATGTGCAGTGTGTTGAGTTTCTGATTGTCTCTTGCTTAAGTTACTCAACAGGTCTGAGTTGTTTTGGAATGAGGGGGATTGCGAAATCCAGCACTGGAACAGTGCGTTGCTACCGTGTCACACACAGGCTGGGGTGGTGTTATGAAAATGTTTATTAGCCACTTGTTGAGATGAATGCTTTTGAGTCTAATGAATAATCAATGTAGGTGTTCAATATCATAGAGCCTAGATTATATTTTTTTAGATGAGGGTCATGTTCTATAAGACTGTTCTCATAACTATGTGGCAACCAGACAGTATTTTGCATTACATATGCACTGCTGAACCTTTACTCCTCAGCCAAAAAGAACAAATTATAGGGTTTCTGAAGAACAACTATTAAGGTGTGGTGTATACTGATGATTAAAAAACCTGATGAAAAGCTTTTGTTTGCAGTTCCCATAGAAATCCAAGAGTCCTGCAAACATCTTAACTTTTTAAATCATTGTTTTCATCTCTTTGGTCCTTGCACTCGTTTGGCTGGGGCCTCAAATCGAACCTCAATGAATAATACCGTAATGTATCTACAGTACTAGCTAACAAAATAATAATAATAAAAAGATCTTCCTCTGTGATAGATGATATGATGATATGAATGCTTCCACTTGGTAATTCTGCTTTTTTTCTATAATATTACACAAAAAGAGAAATATACTGTCCCATTGTGAAGCAGGAAAACTAGTCCACATTGTGTTACCTCAAGGCTGGACTACTATAATACTATCCTATCAGGGAGTTAAAAGTTTTAGTCCTTGTGTGGTTTTCTACAATTCCTAAAAGTAGAATCGGAGACAGGTATTTTACTAATCAGGCTCCTCTCCCGTGGAACCAACTACCAGTTTTAGTCTGCAACACCCTGTCTATTTTTTAGACTAGGCTTAAAACTTGCCTTTTTTATTGCTACAAGCTATAAACCTAATAGCAAGGAAGGCTAATGTTATCCAGAGCTAACTGTAATTATGTTGCTATAAGTTTAGGCTGCTGGAGGACATAAAGACCACTTTTCTCTCACTCTGCTTCGTTTTCCTACTGTTCTCCAGGGATCTATTTTTGCATTTATTGCTTTAACATAATGCATATTATCTTTTCTCTAGCTCTTCATAGAAGTAGCATCTTACCTGGTGTTTATGTTTACTTCAATTTAGTATATGCATTTTTTTTATCCAATAGATTGTACAACTCAGAGATGATCTGTTATGTTTTTCCCTTACAGCACATGAGCCGGCTGAAGGAGCTAGTGTGACTACAGACAAGAAACATTAAGAAAAACATCAGCCGCAAATGCAACCATTTAGACTCCTACAGGGCCTTGTGTGCATAAATCCTCTAATTGTTGTTTTGTCCAGTTTTTACGCTGCTAAATAAGTTGGTGACTAACTACATAAAGAGTTCTATTGCATTTATAGGGGCTTTAATCCATTACAACACTTCTCTCCCATCCTGCAATCTACACAAAACATTATGGGTTTTCAGCCCTGGGAGGCCAAGTTTAACGTATGTTTGAAACACTTTGAGTATTGAAAGAGGAGGTCGCGAATCCTAGAGCACAGGACGGAGAATTTAGCCCAGCGTGTCAGAGTGTTTGCTTGAGGAACTGAAAATTCCTCCAGATGGTGAGCTGCATACCTCAGTGTCAGAATTCCCATACTCACTGCTCGCTGACAGATTTCTGAGGACACAGATACTGAAGACTGGGAAATCCAATGCCTGTGCTGACTTCATTTGCATAAATACAAGGGAAACAAATTGAATTTTTTATTTTGTTATATATATTTTGCAATCTCAAAGCTTAAAATAATTTTAAAACTACAACAAGAGACAGTTTTGTGCTCATAAATGTACAATATAGTACCGTAATATATAAAATACTTAGATATTTACACTCGAAAATAAATATTTTCAATACAGACACTGGAGCTAGTTTTGCTTTAGCTACAAGTACAATTCAAAAGAGATATTTGACCGCATGGAACACATGTCTTAGCAGAAGAGATGACACAAATAAACACATAAGAATGTACAGATTCTTATGTGGGGGGATATAATCACATGTTGTAATAAGAGGTATTCAGACATGTCAGTATATATTTTACTTGTGGGTTTGTATGTTTTTAGTGTTTTGAAGGAGTTCTGAAAATCATGCAGAAACTTCTTAAAACTATAGTTTTCAGAAAGCCTGACTATTTTCCATTTGCAGAAATGAATATTAGAACATCAAATGAACCAAATCAGACTGTCAGTGTAGACAATATTTACCAACTGAAAATTTGGAATCAATTTTGAGTGATTGCCAGTCAGGTAAAGTGAGACCAGAATTTTCTAAGGTTCTGGACGCAGGAAATATCAGGGGTCTATCATTTCCTCCATAGTTATACAAAATCCATATTATCTACTCCAAATGTTAATTTCAACAGTATATTTGGTACAAAACATGAAATTTTGTTTCTTTAACACTTGAAGAAAAGATTTAATTGTTGAAAGCAAGAAACTGAAAAACGAAAAATTATAATCCAGAAACAACGCTTTAAAAATATTTCAAATTCAATTCAATTCAATTCAGTTTATTTCTATAG